TCATCTTCAGTTGCTCAAAATAGCAGTCCTATTGTTTCTTCTGAGTCAGTTCATTATAGTGATTGTCACTATCTTACAAGTGAACAATATACCAAGTTTCTTCGTCTCATTAATGAGAACTTTGCTAGTGAGGATGTATCTGCTGCTGCAAATATGGCAGGTACATCTACATTTCAATGTTTTAACTCTTTTGTTAGTTCAAGTAATTCTCAAAGTTGGATTGTTGACTCTGGGGCTAATCAACATATGATAGCCTCTGAGTCACAACTTCAAGACACTGTGGATGTGTCTAGACTTAATCTCATTGTGAAACATCCTAATGGTTCTTCTGCACCTATAAATAAGATTGGGAATATTCAGTTATCCTCTAATCTTACTTTGTTTGATGTTTTTGCTGTTCCAGACTTTAATGTTAATCTTTTGTCTGTGCATAAACTTTGTAAGGATAGTGGATGTGAGATTATTTTTTTCTGAGCATAATTGTAAAATTCAGGATTCACTGTCAAAGGAGATGGTGGAGAATGGTAGAGAGTCTGGGGGACTGTATTATCTAGATCATGTTCCCTCAGGTAATTTAGTGAGTTTTACTAATTCTAAATGTTGTGTTTCAAAACTAACTTGGCATAGTAGACTTGGTCATCCTGCTGACCAGGCTTTAAACTCTTTAAAGGATAAACTAAAACTTGGAAATGAGTCTCTTCCTCCTTGTGATGCTTGTCACAGGGCCAAACAGACTAGAGAGTCCTTTTCTCTTAATCAACATTGCTCAACCCAATTAGGAGAGTTGACTCACATAGATGTTTGGGGTCCTTATAGACTTGCTTCAGTAGAGGGATTTAAGTATTTCTTGACTATTGTGGATGATTTTACTAGGGCCACTTGGGTTTTCCTCTTAAAATCTAAAAGTGAAGTTTTTGATTGTTTTAAGTCTTTTGTGAATATTTTATCAAATCAGTTTAGTGTTAATGTTAAGACTGTGTGTTCTGATAATGGTACTGAATTTGTCAATAATCAAATGAAATATTTTTGCATAGAACGTGGTATCATTCATCAGACTTCCTGTGCTTATACTCCACAACAAAATGGGGTTGTGGAAAGGAAGCATAAACACATTCTTAATGTTGCACGATCTCTTATTTTTCAGTCAGGAGTTCCTGTAAGATATTGGGGAGATGCTGTTTTAACCTCTGTTTTTTTGATAAATAGAATGCCTACATCTGTTTTAAATGGCTCATCTCCATATGAACTTGTTTTTAAAAAGGCTCTCAGTTTTGATCATTTAAGAGTTTTTGGTTGTCTTTGTTTTGCTGTTAAACAAAATGTTACTGATAAATTTTCTGAACGTGCTGAAAAATGTATTTTATTAGGGTATTCTTCTGATAAAAAAGCTTATAAACTTCTTAGTCTGGATTCTAACTCATCTTTTATGTCCAGGGATGTGAAGTTTTATGAGTCTGTATTTCCTTACAAGTTAAAGTCAACTAATGTTGATAAAACTTTTGATAATTTTGGCCCTAGTGATCCTTTTTCCTATGATGTTTTTGATACTAATGAATACTTAAATGATTCTATTAACCCTGATGAGCTGAGAGTAGAACCTCCATTAGAAGGTACTGATGCAGCCACTCACCTGGATGATGTTAACTCTGATGAAACTATCAACCGTAGTGGCGAGGCAGTTGTGCCTCCTACTGCTGGTTCTGTTCCTTCTTCGTCTGGTGTGACTGAGGAAAGTAGTTGTTTACCCTTAATCCCTTCTGTTGAGCAGTCTTTAGGTGCTTCTAGATCTAGGCGTGAATCACATATGCCTGTTAAGTTTGCTGATTATGTTGTAGAAGGAAAATATAAATACGGTATAGAAAGGTCTGTCAATTATTCTTTACTAGATAATGCCACAAAATGTTTTGTTTCTAATTTGAATAAAACTGTTGAACCAAAGGATTACAAAGAGGCTTTGTCTGACCCAAATTGGGTTAAGGCTATGAATGAAGAGATGGAAGCTCTTCATCGTAATCACACTTGGGAAATTACTAATTTACCTAAGAATAGAAAACCAATTGGTTGTAAATGGGTTTTCAAAATTAAATACAAGTCTAGTGGTGAAGTAGAAAGGTATAAAGCACGCTTAGTAGCTAAAGGATATAATCAAAGAGAGGGAATAGATTTTGAAGAAACTTTTTCTCCAGTTGCAAAAAATTTTACTGTGCGTGTTATTATTTCTTTATCTGTTCATAATTCTTGGCCTTTGTATAAATTAGACATTAATAATGCCTTTTTATATGGAGATCTCACTGAGGATGTTTATATGTCCCTTCCTCCTGGTTACTATTCTACTGGTGATTCTAAGGTTTGTAAACTTACTAAATCACTGTATGGTTTGAAACAAGCCCCTAGAAAATGGAATGAAAAACTTTGTTCTTCTTTATTTCTGTTTGGTTTTCAACAAAGTATAAGTGATTATTCCTTATTTGTGAGAAAATTTGAAGGTTCATTAACTGTGTTACTTGTGTATGTGGATGATATAATTTTAACTGGAAACTGTGAACTTGAACTGAAAAAGGTTAAGGATTTTATGAAAACACAGTTTTTGATTAAAGATCTTGGTATTCTAAAATATTTTTTGGGAATTGAAGTAGTAAGAATTAATAATGGCTTGTGTTTAAATCAAAGGAAATATTGTTTGGAATTGTTGCATGAATATGGTATGCTTGGATGTAAGCCTGTAAATACTCCCTTGGAAACAAATGTTGTTATGGATTCTGGTGAAAATGATAGAGTCAATACACTATTAGATAATAAAACTGAGTTTCAAAAGCTTATAGGGAAACTTATATATCTGACTGTTACCAGACCTGATATCTCTTATGCTGTTCAAGTACTTAGTCAATTCATGCACAAACCTATAAAATCTCATTTGAAAGTTGCATTTAGACTTTTAAGATATTTAAAAAATAGCCCTAGAAGGGGAGTAGCAGTAACTAAGTCTGATAAATTTGAATTAAAAGGATATGTTGATGCAGACTGGGCTAAATGCTTGACTACAAGAAAGTCTGTATCTGGGTACATGGTTTATTTTAATAATGTTTTGATATCATGGAAGAGTAGGAAACAGCCTACTGTTTCTAGATCTTCTACTGAAGCTGAATATAGGGCTCTTGGTTCTATTACTTGTGAAATAATTTGGATTTTGAAAATCTTATTTGAACTTGAAATTAAAGATCTTATTCCAGTTTCAGTTTTTTGTGATAATGATTCAACTATTAAGTTGGCTCTAAATCCAGTGTTTCATGAAAGAACAAAACACTTTGAGGTTGAATTACATTTTGTTAGAGAAAAGATTTCTAATGGAGTTATAAAGTTAGTTAAAATTGGTTTTTCTGAACAAAATGCAGATATTCTTACTAAGTCTTTAAGTATAAAACAACATGATTTTCTGTCTAAGAAAATGGGTCTTATTGATGTTTTTAAAAGTGAAAAATAAATATTTCGATGGAGGGGATGTTAAAAATAAAGAAAGATACAATCTCATATTTATTTATTTAAGTGAAAGGGTGTGTTGTGTTCAAATTATATTCTTGTGGGTTTAAGTGGAAATGCAGGGAAATACGCGGATCTGGAGTATGGGTCAAGTTGGATCCGTATTTGAAGGTTGACATATAAAAGAAGAGAGAGAGTGAAGATGAGATAGATTCTTATCTCTTCAGTTAGAGTTTCAGGGTTTTCTCTCGTGTTAGGGTTTTCTCTCATTCTTGCTTAGATTCATATTCTGTTCTAGATGATCTGTGATGCATTTTAGTTTTGTTTTGTTGTTCTAGATGAGTTTCATTCTAGATTTGTTATCATCAGCTGATCGTGTTAGATTAGGGTTTGAGTGATTAGTTTTGAGTGTAGATTAGGTTTCTGTAGTGAGGTTTCAGTTGTATGTTCATGAAAACCTTCTGTTTCTTAATCCTCAATTGATATAAGAAATGAAGATGTTGGGAAACTTGTGTTTGTCTAATTTCATCACAACTAATCACTTTCGCACTCAATTTTAGTTGATCAAAATCGACTCACTGTTTGTTCATTTTTTCATAATCGACTCACTGTTTGTTCATTCAGCTAGACTATTTGCTCGATTCAAACTCCCCCGGTTCCACTTCCCATTTTGACCTCTAGCAGTCCAACCTTTATTTCCACCATTCCAGTTCAAGTTTTGGTTTCCAGAAAAGAAATTCTGATCCCCAGTAGTACCATACCTATTAGCACCAGCTTTTCCATTATTTCCATTATTATACTCCACCTTAGAGAACCCCTCGCCTTCTTTATTCATCACAGCCTTAGAAACATTGTTGACATCTGAACCATTCCCCGTGATAGCAGCCAAACACTTAGAATCATCATGATTAGAAGTATCCATAACTTGTCTTCCCTTATTAGCATCACCTAGAAGAGAAGGTTTCAGATTAATATTGTTGATAACAGTGGCAGCCTTCTGCAATATCAAATGTTCATCAGAAAATTTTCCCAGTGGGGCACAATCCTTGACCTCCCCTTCTTCCTTACTCAATTCGACATCAGAATCAACATCTGATTCCACCACCACATTACCACTATCATTCCATTTAGAAGATTTAGACAGATAGTCAAAATCACCATCATTCACCATAGTATTCTTCTCATTCCAGTCAATCACACCTGAAACCCCCTATCCATCATTCCATCTCTAAGACAATTAACCTCAACACCAGGTATAACCACCTTATCAGGAACATTCAACCATTTATCTTCCTCATTCAACATCTTATCATTTCCAACATTAACATCAACAACAAGTAAAATGCATACATCTTGTGATTATGAATTTGTATCAGGTGACAAGTGATTTTATACATGTTATTTTAGCTTATATAGACGAACACTTTGTTTGTACTCTAAACTTTATATGATTTATTTGCTAACTGATTTTATACATGTTATTTCAGCTTATATTATTCTTATATATTTCCTCCAGAGTAAATATGATGAATGATCAGCCACAACAAGAAGTAGAACCACAACCACAGCCACAAGAAGAACCAGAACCAGAACCACAGCCACAACCACAATCGAGGAAAAAAAGAACAGCCACAAGACTAATCGACCATAAAGAGCCACACGAAGTTGATTTCAACAATATTGGTCAGCATGTCGGGAAGAAACAAAGTAAGTTTGCTAACGAGTGTGGTGTTATTACGAGGTCGATGATTTCCGTTGAATATACAAGTTGGAAGAAAGTGCCAATTGCTCAAAAAAGATATGCTATGGTCGACAATTAAGGTTCGTTATCTACATAAGACCCATTACATGTACTTTCATCTAATTAAGATGTGTTATTAATACTTAGTATCCTTATTCTAAAACAAAAACAGAAACGTTGGAATATTCCAAATGACAACCGTAAAAAAGATGTGCTTAGAACATGCAACAGCCAGTGGAGAGCCTTCAAGAAAAGGCTTAAAAAGAAATGCGATAACCAAAGAGATCCACTTGAGACATACTCATATTTGGAAAGAAGTACATTGCAGAGCTTTAGACAGAGAATATCATCAGAGGAGTTCCAAGTATGTTGGACTTTAATTGCACGTAATTATATTACTTATTGTGTTGCATTGTTTTAACTGTGTCAATTAATTTCATTTGCAGGAGATAAGTGAGAAAGCGCGGGTGAGTTCAATGCATAATAAGAATCCTGCTCGTGTAGGACCAGTTGGTTGGTTATAGGGGCAAGAAAGCTGAGTGGGAACAAGAGATGGCATCTGGTCAATTGACATCCCAATTGTATCAGATAAAAAGCGAGCGTTCACTGCATTATGTTATGGGTAGAAGATCTAAAAATGAGTTGGGGTCGAACATAATACCGCCTACCATACAACCCCCCATAGTGGATAAGCTTGTAAGTAAATTCTTTTAATCATTTATATCTAACTAATTACTCTCACTGTGTTTGCTGTTTTCGTTAACAGGTCGATGTCCAGACTCAAATCTCTGAAGGAGATTTGGAGCTCAGTCCAGGAGAGGACTTGTTGACAAATGTAATAGGACCGGAGCACCCGGGCCGTACCAGGGCTGTTGGTCATGATGTTGGATTGAGAAAAGGGATGCAAGGGACTGATAAAAAAAAAAGAGGAAAAAACATGAAAACGAAACTATTGTTAAACTGCAGGAAACGATAGATCTGATGGGCTCCCAATTGGAAAAGCTACAAGCACACTTTGACTTACAACAGGGGTCTAGGAACCATGCCCCAGATAATGTAAGCTTAGGGGTTCAACAAAATAATTGTGGCTCGACTCCAACATTAGATGCTTTGGATGCGATAAAGGTAAATGACTGTATTTATTTTCCGGTAACATCTAGAAACAATAAAAACTAAACATGTTAACCTGTTAGTTGAGAAATTATGCTCAGGACTAGGGATGAGCAACAAAACTGAGTACTAATGTTTTTCTAATTATTTTTTTAGTGATAATATACTTGTTTAACTGATTTAACTAATATTTTTTTTCTTGGATATTAAATATTGTTTGATTCCATATCATAGAAGTGGTACTATATTTCTTTATATATTCTTATAATTGCACATATTATTTTATTATAATATTTGTGATAGAAAATGCAACATTGTAAGAATTGTGTTTGAGTTTACCTTAATATCATCATTTTGGTTGTATAATTGAGACAAACGACTGTAGTTTTTTTAATTAAAATGTTTTGTTAGAAGGGTTTGAACTATAATAGATACACTTAGAATGGTTAAAAATTCAAATATAGTTATTACATTATTATGCACTTTTTTTGTTTATTATCCTTCAAAGATCTTTTATTATTATTTTTGTTTTACTATATGTGTACAGATGCCTACCCCTTGTGAATTGGTGTTACCCTATGGGGAGTTGGACCAAAAATGTGCCAAGGGATTGGTCTTTCCATTTGGGAATGGGTTAATACACACATTGCCTTTACGAGAAAATCACCTGAAGGTTCTAATAGACGACATCGATAGTAGATATGAAAATTTTCCTGTTCCTGTGATGACAAAAGAAGTTGCTAACCTACAAGGGGCGGTTGGCACTGTAATTCAATGACCCCGGCTTGCAATTATTCTTGCAAAGGTATATATGCATTATCCTTTACTTTTTAAGCTACTATGTAAACAACAAATTATAATTGTATTTGATAGTCAAATGAATTAAAATGTAGGAACAAAGAGGGAAGAAACAAATTCCAACCACAAGTTTGGTGCCAACAATTGCAAGGGCTGGTACAAACAAGAACATACCCAACCAAACATCCAGCAAGGCGAGGCCGATTGAATATCTTCGTGATTGCTTGAAGACCAACCAAGTGGTTAACATTGTAGCCGATTCTGGGATTTTGGAAGTCGGGACATATGATTTTTCGGTTACATGTGAAGAATATTTTCGGCTGCTGAGAAAACAAACAACTGATGCTTCCATCATAACTGCTTGGCAACTGTAAGTCCATAAAAATTTTACTATTATTGGTTGACCATAACATTTTTTGTTTTCTTGTTTGTAGGATTCTTCATTCAATGGTTCGGACACGTATGAACAAATGTGCTTTCTTGAACCCTTATAATATTCTAGGGGAGGCATGCCAGAAAAACCCAGAGGGTGTCGTTAGTTATCTTGTTGATTCCATTCGTCTGCATCACGGAAAATTGTTTCTCATTGCACCATATTTGCAACAGTACAATAATTTCTTATCTTTATTATTATTATTTTGTTTTTTTTTTCTTATTATTTATACTAAATGTTTAAACATTTCTAGTAAGCATTGGGTGCTTTTGGTGATTTCCCTTCGCAATCGCGTTGTCTATATTTTGGATTCTCTTAAGAATCGTATAGAAAAGTCTGCCGACTACCATTACCTACTCAAAAAACATGTGGACATGTAAGAAATTACTTACATCATAGCAACATATAAATCTTTTTATTATTTTGAACACAACACTTGTTTATTTCTTTTAAGGGCTTTCATGAGGTATGAAAAAGACACTTCAACTCCAATTGGATGGATTTTTGCTGAGGTATCTTGTTATATACCAAAACAAATAATTGTTGTAGTTTCATTTGTTTGATTAGTGTTTATTTTTTGCTACAATTTTTAGTGCAACCAACAACTTGGTGGTTTAGAGAGCGGACATTATGTAATGTGATGGATGTTTGATTTCTTGACGACAAGACAACATGGATTTCTAAGTAAAGTAAGTACCTTTTTAATATTTGTTGATTTTGTTTATTGCAACAAAATATTTGGTCTGTTAATGAATATGTTTAATTTTACATTTAATATAGTCCGGTAGCATTTTGGATGACAAAGGTCCCTTTGAGGAAAAGATGTTGCTTGCAACTGTTGCTACCTGGTCTAGAGAGTTTTTGAATAACTACATGAATGATGTGGTCCTCTAAAAAAAGCATATATGGTTAGTTATTGAATTCAAAAACTTCCTAACTTTGGTTTAATTATCTTTTGTTGGAGTTCTTACCTTTTTACTTTCATTTGTTTGTTTTTCAGGGACGTTAGAAGAAACAACCACTACAATTGATTTTTTGGACAATCCCTATGCCAAGTCAAGACAAATGTTTTTTTTTGTAAGTTTTCATGCAAGTTGTATGATGTATGAAATTACTAAATCCATGATTTCTTTTGCTACTTAGACAATTGTCTTTGTTTGATTATATTTTTATCAATGACTATTATGGTTTATTTAACATTTCCACATAAAAAACATTGTTTATTTGTACAATATGTCTTATAAATTGATAGTCTATAAGTATTGTACTGTTATTTTTATAAAATGATATTAAAAAAATATATATAAAAGTGTTAAAAGGAACCGGTTGCTTATCTAGAAACCGGGTTCTAAACCTGTTGTGGAAAAAAGGGTAAAAGTCTATTATGACCCGGTTGTTTGTATGAACGGGTATATATTTTGTTTTCATATGTCTCGGTTATATTGAAGGGAACCGGTTCTAATATTCGTATATAGTTGGCACGGAAAATGTTATATGACCCGGTTATATAAATACAAACCGAGCTCTATTTGTAATAAAAAGACCCGGTTTAGAACCGGGTCCTATTCCGGATTCCACATAGGACTCGCCAGCATCAAACCCGGTTGCAAAACCGGCTTCTTTAAGCTATTTAACCGGGTCTTTTAGCGCTTTTTGTAGTGGTGCATGTGATAAAGCTAGAGGCACAATGAATATTAAACTTCTTTGTTTTCAGTAAACATCATGCAATGAGAGGGAAAGAGAGGTGGGTCCTCCTCTTTAACTTTTTAAACATTGATTTTTAAATAAAAGAAAAAAATATTTAAGAAAATGGGAAAAACAAATTAAAAGGATATGTTAGTCTTTTCAAGTTTAACAGGAACAATTCCATAATCAAACTAGCTGAAAATGACTACCAATCCAGAAAAATTGTGATTTGCACCAAAACTCGAAAAAAATGCATACCAGATGGAACATTTTTGAAGTATTGTCTTCAAACTAATTTGGAGTGTGTCTTCTTGTCATAAAACAGAAAATGCAAACAACAAAAATAAATACTTTATTACATATCTGATAAATTATTACATATTTGTCCTTCTCTAGTATCTTTTTATGTATAGCTAGCAAGGTGGCTTAGAATTCCACTCCTGGTGAATTCCACTACTGATCACTTATTTTCCCAGAGAAACCTTGCAACCCACCATCCTTCATCCTTCCATACATCCACCAAATCATCTCGAACAAAGTCAACCTATGCAACTGGAGGATAGGGTCAGATCTTTCTCTCTGTTAATGTCTCCTCTAATGGATTAATTCCTTCTTCTTCAACCCTAGTCTCATACCTTACCCTGTACATTCCATGCGACTTGGCAATGATTCTTGCTGCAAAGTGAGAATCCATGAAGTCTGGTTCCCTCTTCACCACTTCAGGTCGATCTCCAACCTCATACTCCAGTTTCCTTTTGCTTATTTGAAGTTTCTTCTTGTGATATGCTTGCTATGAGTTGTGGGTATACGAAAGCCACACGAATTCTTTTATAGACATAAATGACCATCAACTCTACTTTCAAAAAGACTTGTAGGTCTAATAACTCTCCTCTCGAAAACCCTAAAAACAAAAAGTCACATCTGAAAGAAAAGATTCATTTCTTCAAAAAAAAAAAGACGAGTAATTATGTCTTTGAGCTCCAAGATACCACTCACTGTAAGGGCCTTAAATGTTAATAAATGATATTAAAAGTTGAGCATCAGTGGTTCTTCCCCTGATGGTCGATATTTTATCCATTGATGGTACCTTTATGAAGAATTAACTGTGAACAATATATTCTAATTTACACCTACATCAGTGGCTGACTCACTGACAACCACATCAGTGGCTGACTCGGCCTCATCTGTTTTGACCATAGATTGAGATATGAAACCATACAGTCTATTCCCAATTGTACGAAAATTGAGTTGATGAAGAACTTCTTGTTCTAGACTGAAACATACATAAGTGACTAAATTCACTGATGAAATTGCTCATTCACTAACAATTGTACCCTAAATTGACGAAGAACAAATTGTTCTAGATAGTAACTAATGTCGGTGATATCTTATAAAGACATATATTATGTGAGACACGCCCCATATGTTAGTGATCCTAATTATTACGAACATAGTCACAGTGAGGCATTGAATACCTTTTTCCTTTTGTACCAATATAATTGACGAAGAACTTTGGTTCAAGTTTGCAACCAAGGTTTCCTATCATCCTCTACCGACCATCAGCTAATAATGTCAACAAGGGGAGCATAAAGCATTCATCTAAGGGGGATCATCTACACTAGAATCTGGTATTGTTCATTTGCTGAAGGTTGTTACTTCATTCATTATGAAGTTTCATTATATTTTCAAAAAAATTCACGAATACATTAATGACTTAGGCTATTTCTCCATGTTTTGTACTTTTTTGTATACTTTATAGTTACTTTTCAGTATATTAAAGAAATAGTATAATTAGTATAGTTAGGATTAACATTATCGAATAGGAGGAGGTTGTTAGGTCCCTTGTTTGATTTGATAAGTTAATTACTGTTTTGCATTAGTACCACTGGTCATCAATGGTTACATCCCCTGATGACATGAAGATCTATACAAGACCACTTGTTCATTGAAACATTTTAATCAATATATATTTTGGTTTTGAGTAGTCCTCTTGTTATTACTCATATTCGTTTCATTGCATCTAGAATCTGTTGATTAGGGACCAACAAGAACATATATATTTGGTGATTATTATTAGTTATTAATAACAGACATGTAAATGAAACAGATGTATGAAAGCCAAATGGAAGAACACACGAAGTCAAAATTTTAATTAAAAAAATTCGTTAAAGGAGGTTAATTAACCCGGAGTCAAAAGCAAAAAGTTGGACCAAAAAAACAGGAATCCATTGTAATCCCCTATAATCCAACCTCTAACAACTGAACGAAGCAAGTATACTCATAACATGAATGTTCAGTGATGAACATTCAATATGAACAAAAAATAAATTGTTAATGGAAACACATATGTTCATGATAAATCATTAATCACTTAAAATAAATCAATTATGCAAAGAAAAAAACCTAACCAAAGTCCGTGTAGTCGATTCAACCACAACTATTCACTTATTAACATAAACTCAAATTAATAAAACAATCGATAATCGAAACGAATATGGCGGTATTCGAATATTAATAAAATATTAGCAACAAATTACGCAAACAAAAACCCTAAATCTTATCTTAGTCGTTGAAATCAGTGAATGTTCACGAGTGAACATTCAAATGATTATGAAATCATTTCATTACAATTCATATATATCCTAAAGCATAAAACATTAATCACTTAAAATAAATCAATTATGCAAAGAAAAAAACCTAACCAAAGTCCGTGTAGTCGATTCAACCACAACTATTCACTTATTAACATAAACTCAAATTAATAAAACAATCGATAATCGAAACGAATATGACGGTATTCGAATATTAATAAAATATTAGCAACAAATTACGCAAACAAAAACCCTAAATCTTATCTTAGTCGTTGAAATCAGTGAATGTTCACGAGTGAACATTCAAATGATTATGAAATCATTTCATTACAATTCATATATATCCTAAAGCATAAAACCAATTAATTCATAACTTAAAGTTTTAAAATTGTTTAATTGCAAGGGACTATTAAACATAAGGAACTCGATTATGTTACGCTGCTTTCAATGGTTAAATGCGATATTTAAACATTCCAAAAATTCATAACCAAAAATTTTGTTTTAAACCATTAATAAAACCATAGTTATTAAAATCATTCTATCAAAACATAAGTCATAGTATCCAAACATCAAATCAGAGTATCATATCAAAACATCAGAGTAAACATCTCCGGTCAAATATCGTGGTGTGTGCAATGCAGTCATCCCGAGCTCTTCCCTTTGCTACCAGAAGTACCTGAAACCAAAACTGAAAACCGTACGCACGAAGCTTAGTGAGTTCTGCATACTACGACACACCATACACATAATCACATATACTCGGCCCCCGCCCGGCATCAGGCTCAGCTTGGCATCAGGCCCCGCCTGGCGTCGAACCCCGCTTGGTATATAGATCTGTTTATCCGAGGCCCCGCCCGCTATACACATACAATCAATACCATATAATCATGTTAGGACATAAAGAAAACAAACGCAGTACCATGTGTTCCAGTCCTAAGGCCTCGCCTATCATGGGCCCCGCCCCTACTATGCTAATGATGAGATACGGGACCCCGCTCACACTCACTTCCCTAACCAAGCACATACAAGTATCACACAGGCAACAAGTATAACTAAACATGCACATAGTCATTGGGTACCACCCGGCATCGAACCGTAGTCCGGAAACATACATATAAACATTCTTAGGGACCCGCCCGACATCAGACCGTAATCCGAAAGCATACAGACATTCCTCGGGCATCACCCGACATCGGATCGTAATCCGGAAAACAAATAAACATACATCGGGCACCTCCCAACATCGGACCTTTGTCCGGAATACATACAGTCCTAAATACGGGCCGACATTGGTGCCTTCGACCCGTTCAAACAGGAGGAAACTCACTTCGAATGCTGAAGCTTACTGCACGAAATTCTTAGCTGTTGTCCTGACAATTCCTCAAGCTATCAATACAAAAATATCACCCAATTAGCATATGGGTCCCAAACCATGATCCATAATCCATACTTGGGGGTAAAATTACCATTTTACCCCTGGCCCAACAAGATTCATAACTAAGGCCCAAATCCACACACAAAGGCCAAATTACTAGTTAGCCTTCCCAAGCCCACTAGTGGCCCTCTAATTGCTCAATTTCCTAAATTGGGCCCAACCCGTCTGATGGGCCTTACCCTAAAGCCCAAACATATCCTTAGCCCAAAATATATGAATTCTGATGGCCCACAAAGACCCAAAGTAGCGAAGTCCAATGAATGGCCCAAACCAAGGCCCACTTGTGCAACACCCACTCTGACTGAGTACGTAGAGCGTACTAAATTGTATGTAGCGCGTACTAGGTTCGTGACCTGTATGTTGCGCGTACCAGCTTGTACGCCCAAGGTACTCCTTTGTTAAGTCCTTTTTGCTATTAAGCACTTAATGCTTCAAACCAAAGGACCAAATCACAGATCCGAGCTCTACTTAACGTCTAAACCCATAAAGTCACTGACTTGG